CCGCCCCGCCCCGCCCCGTCTCTTGCGTCCAACGCTCTACCGCACATCGAATGCGTGCACGCATTACTCCCACGCGCTTCTTACCGCCTCCTCCTCATCCTCCTCCTTCTCAGTCACATCAATCGGCCCAAGCTTAGAACAGTCGAAATACCTTAGAAAAACCCCTCAGGGAGGTCAGTACTCCTCCATGGAGGAAAGTTCGGCGGATGATGGAGGGGTCGCTAGAAACTTTTGTGAATTCGCCCACCGCGACGATCCGAGAAAGTAAGTTTTGCGCCATCATCTCTTGCCAGATTCTACAGTCAGTTGCCCTGTTCGGCTTAAGTGACCTTTGTAAAGGCCAACGCAAACGTCCATTTCTTGGTACCCACTTAGTAGAGCCTCCTTTTGGACATGACGGCGTAATCCAACAAGTAACCGCTTTTGAGTCATGTGGATTCTATTAGTTTATTTTACCGGCTACTTGGCTCTTCGTCGCTCTTTTTTAACACACAGCGCCAACTTCTCCCCCCTACTGGGTATCTACTGCTTGATATTTAAACTTTGGTTTTCAGTGATTAAACTACGCTTTGCAAGTTAGTTCACCCCTTGTGTAAAAATTTGTATGAGTAAAGGAGAGGACTGGTGGAGTACCGTAACAGTTTGTTTTTATTCTGAGTCTTCGAAACCGTACAGGATTCCACCATCAGGTAAAGCAGCAGCAGCAGCAGCAACAAAAGAAGGTAATCATAGGAGGTGTGAGCCAATTAGTTATCAATGACGCGTGCCAGCTGGTGACTGCGCAGGGCTCTGTACGTCGGCGCCCGGTCGATACATCGACTTATGGAGTTCTCATCTGAGTTCGAATGCTCAGTGTAATGCCCCAACGCCCTGGTGTCCTTGCGTAGCGTATCTTCTTCCTCATTAGGGCCGGTAATCAGTCGTTCGTCTACGTCTGTTGTTTTCTGGCTGTGTCCACGCACTGTAATTCCACTAGAATGCTCAATCACAGGAACAGTCACTCAGCCCAGTCACGACAACCCAAGTCGAGGATACCCACACGTCGGTAGGGTCCACTAATAAACCTC